TGGTTCTGGATGTAGACTTGAGTTTAGAACAACGCTGACAGGGGACTGCAGCAGTTGTCCATTGCTGTATAACAAATCACCCACTGCCCCCACCCAAAATTTGTTTTTTTTGTTGGTTTTTAAATTTAAATATATCTTTATTGATTTCAGAGAGAAGGAGAGGGAGAGAGAGAGAGAAACATCAATGATGAGAGAGTCATTGATTGACCCACAACCTGGGCATGTGCCCTGACTGGGAATCGAATCCTGATCGCCTGGATCCCAGGTCGACCCTCAACCGCTGAGCCACCCCTGACCGGGCCCCACCCAAAATTTGTGACTTAAGAGCGCTATGTTTTCCTCATGATCCTGAGGGCTGTTTGGGCAGTTCCTTTTTCATTCTATTTTTATTTAAAGTCTGAGGATTCACCATTGTATTTAAGATTTTTTTTTAAAATTTATTGATTTTCTAGAGAGTAAGGAAGGGGAAGGGAGGAGGGGGAGGGGGAGAGCAAGGGCCGGGTGATGCTGACCTGTTATTCCACCCATCCATGCCACTCCCTGGTTGCTCCTTTTATGCGCCCTGACTGGAGATCAAACCTGCAACCCTGGTGTATCGGGGACAGTGCTCCAACTAACTGAGCTGCCCGGCCAGGGCCCTCTCCTCATTCCTCTGGGTCTCCTTCAGATGTTGCATTCAACACCTCACGCATATGTTTCGCAACTAGTGCCGATGGCTAGGCAACTTCGTTCTCCCTCTCCATGGCCTCTTTAAGAACCTGCCTCAGCCCCAATAAACTCAACAAAATAATAGTAATAAAACTAGCCTCAGCAGTCACGTCACTTAAGTCACATTCTGTTTGTGAAAGCAAGTCACAAGACCAGATGAAGGGTGGAGAAACAGACTTTACCTATTGATGGAAGGAGTGCGGAAGTCCCTTTGCAAAGGGTATGCATACTAGGATGGGAGGCATTTGTGACAAGTTAAAGCTTACCCCACGGAGAGATGTGGAATCATTCTAACTTCCCTGCTGCAGAAGGTAGCAGGAACAAAGTGATTGTAGCCAATATCCTGGGGATGGAGTCCTAATCTCTCAACTTCCTAAAGCTGTCAACAGCGACACAGACAACGCCTGAGCATGCACTCACTTCCCTCTGGTGGTCCCTATTTAAGTCATGTCGGTTTGTGAATTGTTAACATTTTTTTTAATCCTTGCTTTTTTGGACAATAAATGTACTAAGTTACTTACTTTGTTTTGTTTTCGATATATAGCAGGGCTTAGAATGCCGGTTTGGTCCTGGCCAGAGCACTACCTCTTTGGGGTTTGGACATTCTTCCCACGTCTGCATTGGTCCCTCCCACATCCCAAAGATGAGCAGGGCAGGTGAACTGGCGTTTCCACATTTTCCCAGTGTGAGCATGGGTTTGGGTGCTCCCTGGGATGGGAGTCCTGTCCAGGGTTGGTCCATTTTGTGCCCTGAGGAGCTGGGACAGCCCCCTACAACTCTGACTGGAATAAGTGGGTTGGAAAAGAATGATCTTACTTTTACTCATCTTTCTTAAATGTATGTATAGCCCATATCTATTTCAATGTTTAATATTAAAAGTGTTTTCAGGCTTTATTTAGAAATTTGGTAATGTTTTTGTGACCAGAAATATGCTGTAGGAACTCAGCTCTTGTTTATATCAATTAGCCTGTGGCCAAATTGGTTTCATTATACGTGGTTTTGCTTAATGTCACAGCTTCCAAGAACCTATCAGTGATGTCAAGTGAGGACTTACTATAATACTGTGAAACGTTGTCTTGAATTTATTTCTGCTCTTTCATTCAACCCCTTGTGAACAGTAACCAATTTTCCCTGAGTCAAGTGCTGTTTTGGAGATTGCCATTGTCAATCTGTTCTTGTTGCTTTGTAGGTGTGATCTGCAATAGGTCTCCCTGGAAGCTTTTACAACTTTGTTTGATGTTCTTAAATTGCATTATAATCTCTATATTTTTCTTATCTATACAATTAGCATTCTACTGTAGTCTTTTATCTTTCCTTAAAGCTGGGGAATTTACAACCCTTATTTGTACAAGTACTTCCTCTCCTGTTTTTTCTCTCTCCCTTTGGGACTCTTGTAATGACAGCTGTCACTTCTAACCTCCTTGAGTCCATCTCTTTACCCCTATTATTAAACTCTATCCTCAGGCTCACTAATGTGTTCTTCCTTTGTATCAGTTTACCTGTTGAGTTTTTTATTTCAACTAGTTTTTTTTAATTAAAAGAATTTTTTTAAATTTTAAATATTATTTGACTCATTCTTACAACTGCAGCTCCTAATATCCTTTCATCTCTTTATAGTATTTATAACTTATAGTCACAATTCTAAAAAAATTAATCAAGTATGAAAAAATAAAAACTTTAGATGTATGCAAGGACATACAATATCTATTTATGATAAAAATTTAGCAAACTAGGAATGAAAGAGTACATCCTCAAAATGACCTAAAAGGTATCTACAACAATAACAAAGCTTCAGCGAACAGTATACTGGGCTGGCTATTACATCCCCAAATCAGTTTGTCTATCCAGCACCATGTTATCTTAATATTTATTAGACACTACTACTGTTTTAGTATCTATAGCTTGATAAATTGTGATCTCTAATAAATCATTAGAGTCCACTGAAGTGTCTTTGCTATTCTTGGCCCTTTTCTTATCCATATATATTTAGAGTCAGTTAAATGTTTCTTGAAAGTGGTATTTTTTATTAGAATGACTCTATGTCCAGTTTGAAGAGAATTTATCTCTTTACCATACAAAGTCTTCCTAAGCTTAAACATAGTATGTCTCTCCCTTTATTCGTCTTTTGTCTCTCAAAATTTCATAATTGTGCTTGTCATGTCTTTGTGTATCTTTTGTTAGGTTTACTCCTAGATATGTGACATTTGATGACAATGTAGTATTTCTTTTTCGGGTGTATTTTCTAATTGTATTTCTGGTATACAGGAATGCAATTAACTTTTGCATGCTGAGCTTATTCCCAGATACATGAATAATTACATCAGTTGTGAATGAGTTTTTATTTTTCCCTTTCCAATTATTATGCGTCAAATTTCTTCTCTTTAAGAGTGCACTGTTACACATAACTGGCGGGAATAGGAAATTTTAAAGAGAATGCTTATGTTTCCCCATAAGAATTGTTAGATATGTTTTATAGATACTTTTACAAGTTTAACAAAGTTCCCTCCTACTCCTAATTAGTAAGAGTAGTGGATTTACTAAGAGTTTGTCTATAAAAGAGGGGTGAATTTTATCAAATGTTTTTTCCTGCATCTATAGAGTCATTTTTTTCTCCTTTATACTGTTAATGTCATAAATGACATTATAGATTTTCTAACATGATGCTGTTTGCATTTATAGGATGGTATAAACATATTATCAATCTTTTATAAAAATACAATTAGTTGGCCAGCATATTACTTAGGATATTTACATTCACCTGTTTGAATGAAAGGGGACATGAACTTTCCTGTGTTCTATGGTCCTTACTTGGCTTTCGAAACATTCTTGTCTAACAGGATGAGTTGGTGAATACACCACAGCTCTTTTCCCCCTTTGTGGCATGTGGAACATTTGTGACAGGACCACATGGTTTTTTTTCCTCATACAATATAGGGGGGACAAATAGGCTCTTTCAGTAAGCTGGCATATTGCAATAGAAGCAGGGGCCTTTGAAAGCATTTAATGTATTTTGTTTTCTCTTTAGATTTAAAAAATCCCCCTTAATATGAAGCTTTTCTAGTCATTTTGAGTCTAAAATCAACACTACAGCCTTATTTTAGGCTTCTTTTTTTTTAGTTCTGTGGGGGGTACATGCCAACCCTCCCCATACCCAGATCCCCAGTGGTGGCAAAGGTGGGGTGTAGGGAGAAGGGTGAAGGGCAGACTGGGCCAGGCAGGGATGGAGGGTTGCCTGAGAACCCACCTGGGGAAAGTGGGAGGCAGGGCTACATGTGAACTGAGGCTCCCAACCCTCAGACTTCACTTACAAAACACAAATTTAAAGATAAAACTATTAAGAATTACCAGACATCAGAGCAGAGCATTAAGTCCCAAGTGCAGGGTCCTGTGTGACTGTACTAGCTGCACACCATGGGTTGGAACCAACTCTTTTTTTTTAATCAACATTATTCTTGCATTAATAAACTCTTTGTAAAACTTGAAAGCCTGGTAAAACTCTTCAGAAGAATACTTTTAATTACTGCTTCAATTTAATAGACATAGGACTCATCAGTCTTCTGACTTCTTGAGCCAGTGCAGGAAGACAGTAAAGGGCAGCACATGAAGTAAAAACAGAGATGAAGCAAGAACAAGTAATAAAACGGCAGACTTTAGTAAAGCCCAACATCAACAATTACATTAAGTGTAAATGGTCTTAACCACCAATTAAAAGATAAAGATTAGAAAAATGGATAAAAAACTTACCTAACTAGATGGTGCCTACAAGAAATTCACTTCAAATATAATGATATGGGTAGGTTAAAGGTAAAAGAATGGAAAAAGCTATAGGACACAAACCCTTATCAAAAGAAAGGTGGAATGGCTATATTAATATCAGACTTCAGAGCAAAGAACATTACCAGGACAAAGAAGGACATTTCATAATGATAAAATGGTCTATTCACCAAGAAGACATAGCATTCTTAAATACACCAAATAACAGAGCTCCAAAACCCATGACTCCGTGACGCAAAAACTGACAGACCTAAAAGGAGAAGCAGTCTGAGGACTAAGCCCTATGGTACTTCCACATTTACAAGAACCAACAAGAGACCAGGAATGTCCAGTATAGGCATAAAGAGACATTCTGGAATACCCCTTTAAAAATATATATATCTTTTATTGATTTTGGAGAGAGGAAAGAGGGGGAGAGAGAGAGATGGAAACATCAATGATGAGAGAGTCGTCATTGATCAGCTGCCTCCTGCACGCCCTTGACTGGGGATCAAGCCCACAACCCGGACATGTGCCCTGACTGGGAATTGAACCATGATCTCCTGGATCCTAGGTTGATGCTCAACTGCTGAGCCACGCCTATCCGGGCTGGAACACCCTGTGAACAAAACACAAAGATCTCTCTAAGAGCTATAAAATGACCATTCACATCAGTGGAGTCCCAGAAGGAGTGTAAAATAGCAAACTGTAGAATATTTTATAAAGTAAATATGCATAGGAACCCCTACTTCTGATACTGATACATCTGAGTTAAGTATAGGAAAAAGTCTGTGTATAACACACTACATTGTTATCAGTGGCTAAATTTGTGATATGGGGTTGTTGGGTAAGAAGCAAGAAGGCACCTTACTTCTGATAACGTAAATTTCTTTTAAATTAGTAAGAACACGAGTAATTTTATTTCTGTAATTTTCAAACACAAATTGGATAAAACATACTAGAAGAGTGTTATGAGTTTGGTAGGAATTAAAATTTTTAGTTAAGAATTATATACAAAAGAACACTAACAGCCCTGGCCGTGTTGTTCAGTGGTCAGAATATAAGCCTACAGCGAAGGATTGCAGGTTCGATCCCCAGCCTCTCTTGGGGCGCATGCAGGAGGCAGCTAATTGATGTGTCTCTCTCACATCAATGTTTCTCTCTCTCTCCCCTCCCTTCTGCTCTCTCTAAATATCAATGGAAAAAATATCCTTGGGTGAGGATTAACCAAAAAAAAAAGTACACTAACAATGGGTGTGGTCATTGAAATAGCATGCACAATCTGGTTTCTCCTTGTGCATAATTACTAGCAGAAAATCAAAATATGATGGGGAGTTAAGTATTTGGAGCTGTAACTTTAAGCACCAATCTGTTCTTGGTTCTGAATTAGTTCATGACCTTGTGCCCATATTAGTAGGAAGAGATAAATGCATATTTTAAATTACATACTTGGTCATATTTCTTACACATAGAATTCAGTTATAACTCTCTTCTCTTGACATAATAAATAAGGTGTTTTAAATAAATACACATATTTTAAATTTTATTTAGATTGGGAAATTTTAGTCGAGGGCTTTGTAGTTGAACTTCTTTTATTCACCCTGCCTACTTTGCATGATTAATGTGGAGGTTGAGTTGGGACAAAGAAAAAAGTTTATGCAAATTTTAAAGTGCCTTCTAGACAGGTAATATTATTAGGAGCAGCAGAATCAATGCTCTCCCCAACAGTGAGGGTTTCTTAGCACACTGACTAGAACTCAATAAGTATTTGCTGGGTGAGTGAATATGGACCAACTGGGACAACTTTTGCCATTGACCTTTGTCACTGAACAAATAATCTGTTAGTGGGGTAGAGAAGTTCCAGGTGCATGTTGGAGATTTGTGATAACTACAGCATGCTACCACATGCTCCAATTATCACATGCCTTTTTATCATGTAAACATCAATCAAAAACTGAACTCCCATTTCAACGTAAAAACAGGGCCTCTTTGAAAGACCCACTTAAAAAAAAGAAGCAGAAATCCCATTTCTCTTGGTTCTAGCTTTGAAATTTCAGGTCTGTCCCTTCCTACTCAAACTCATCCTATCAAATGCAATAACTTTCTTTAAAAAAAAAGCTTTTATTGATTTTAGAGATAGAAAAACATGTATTGGTAGTCTCCCATACCCATCCCAACCAGGGATCGAATTGGCAACCTGGGTATGTGCCCTGATCCAGAATGAAACTGGAGACCTTTGGGTGCACAGGAGGACACTCAACTGAGCCACACCAGCCAGGGCCTGCAATAGCTTTCTAATAGGGAATCCCTGTGAAGGCAATTCCTTCAAGTCCCATCCTCCACTTTCCTCTCATTACCTTTGTCCCATCTAATCTGATTGTGCTACTTCCTTGCTGAGAACATTAACTAGCCCTACAGTAATCAAAATGACCAACCTTCTTAGCAAGGAGTCCAAAAATCCTGTCCCAGTCTGGCCCAATTCACAATGCTAGTTTCCTACTGCTGATTTAACAAATTACCACAAATTTAGAGACTTAAAGCAACACAAATTACAGGACAGTTCCTGAGGTCAAAAGTCTGAAATAGGCTTTACTAGGCTAAAATCAAGGTGTTGGTAGAGCTAAAGTCTAGAGGATAATCCATTCCTTGCCTTTTCTAGCTTCTAGAGGCTGCCTCCATTCCTTGGTCACTGGTCATACCACTGACTTTAGCAACTGTTTCAGCTGCTTCTCTGACCCTCCTGCCCCCCTTCTGAGCCTTGTGATGCCATTGGGTCCACTCATATAATCCAGGATAATCTGTCTCAAGATCCTTAACTTAATCACATCTGCAAAATTCCCTGGCCATGTAAGGTAACACATTTGTTGTATGTTCCAGGGATTAGGCTATGGACATTTTAGGGGGCCATTTTCCTTTTATCACATCTATCCTCCCAGATTTACTTCCCACAACCTTCCTTTCCATGACACCTCTGCACTTTAAGCCAAATCTATTTAGCATTCTCTGCATACACCAGTGGTACCTGTTTTCCACAGAATGTAATGCAAAATGGATTAATCCACCCCAGACCTTTAAAATCAACCCCTAAAACAGCAATTTAACATGAATCTTACTACTTAATGATACCACAGACCCATAAAATGATACACAATGAAAGCAATAAAAATAATATTCTGTACTCTAAAAGCAATAATGAATAAACACAATGTAAAAACAGTACTGTAGGTGATAAAAATGAAAGTTAATTTTTTCTTACCTGCAATGATGATAGTCATGGTTTGAATGGGGGGGGGGGCCCTTCAATAATCACAATAGGTGACTGTTGTTCAGGTATTCTGTAGCCCTCTTCCAGAATCACTGTAGGTGACTCCTCTCCTGCCATTCCTTCCCTTGATTTTTTACACGGACACATAGTTCAGACTCACTGGATCTTTTCCTCACTAAAAATTTTTCAATTGACATTTGCTTTTCCAACATTCTAAAATTTGTCTAAAGTGAGGCAAAGCATTATTATTGAAAGTGTTAGTGGCATGACTTACAGCAGCTATATCAGGGTGGTATTTTTCAACAAAAATTTGCACTTCAATCCATTTTGCACACATTTCTTTGATCAGTGCAATAGAAACACTTTATCTTCCCTCCTCCTCCTCTGAAGACATTTTCTCAGTTGCCACCTGTTGCTGCTCCATCAGAATTTTTGGAAGTTCTTCTGTGGTGAGTTTAGTCTTGTGGTCCTCCACTAATTCCTCTACATCATCACTACTCACTTCCAAGCCCATGGACTTTCCCAGAGACACAAGATCCTTAACAACAGGAGCATCCTCAAATACACGTTCAGGGACAGCTTCTAGCCACAATTTCTTCCATGCTGGCTTCATTGTTCTGTGAGACACATCCCTCCATGCTTTGTCTATGAGATGTAAGCAATGTAGGATATTGAAATAATTCTTCCATAACTCTGAAAGTTAGCTCTGTGTCTGAGGTCATCTCAAAGCACCTTTGGAACAGTGCTTTGGTGTAAAACTTCTTAAAATTAGATATGATCTGCTGCTCCATGGGCTGGATGAGTAGAGTTGTGTTGGGGGGGCAAAGGGTTTACATTGATAAAACTGAACTCGTCCATCAACTCGTCCTCCAAGCCTGGAAGGTGAACTGGAGCATTATCCATAACAAGCAGGCACTTCATTGGAAGATTTTTGTCTTAGAGGTATTTTTTTACACTTGGCCTGAACATTTCATGAACCCACTCAATAGAAAATTGCCTGGTTACCCAAGCTTTGCTGTTTGCCCTCCACATTACATGCAACTTGCTTTTTATGACATTGTTTTTCTTAAATACCCAGGGGTTCTCAGAATGGTAGACTAGCAAAGGCTTCAACTTAAAATCTCCACTTGCATTCCCACAAAATAAAAGGGTTAGCCTTTCATGGGATTGTGTCCTGGCAATGATTTCTCCTCCTTTCTTACATAGATCCTATTTGGCATTTTCTTCCAAAAGAGGCCTGTCTCACCACAATTGAAAACTTGTTGGGGAAGGAAACCCTCTACCTCTACATAATCTTTAAATTCCAAAACAAATTGGTCAGCATCTTCTTTACTGGCACTGGCAGCTTCACCATGTATCACCATACTGTGTATGCCACTTCTCCTCTTAAACTTTTCAAACCACCCTCTACTTGCCTTGAAAATATCACGCTCAGCACTTGTTCCACGGGTGTTTTTGATGAGGTCAGCATGCAAATGTAAAGCTTTTTTCACAAGTCATGCTCAGAAATGCTGTCACCAACCAACTGTTTTTCATTTAGCCATATGAAAAGCAATTTTTCCACTTCTTCAATTGTCTGTGTTCTTTGTCTTGTGTTTTAACACCTCTTTCAACATTGGCTCCTTTAACGGCTTCTTTATTTTTTAAGATGGTACAAACTGTTGATTTGGCCATACCAAACTGCATTGCCAGATCACATACACGGACACCACTATCATGTTTGGAAATAATTTCCTTCTTCACCTCTATTGTTCTATAAATGATTCTCTTGGCTTTGCAGCTTTTATCCATTACTCACAGCAAGGGGTGATTGGCAAAGCGCCCCTGAGATGACACGAACACAGATTGATTGCATACAGTCACCAAATAAGCCCAAATACCACCTCTGTGTTGCATGGGTGCTCAGGACTCAACAGCCGACAGCTAGGCCTCAGGACCTTGCACTCAGCAGAAGCGATGTCACATGTTCAACTTCCGAGGCATGTTCGAAAACCAAAATGTTCATCAACGGAGATGATCAAAAACCACAGTACCACTGTACCACATTTCCTCACGCCTTCATAGTGCCAATCTCTCTACTGAAAAGACAAGAGACAGCAGGTTAAAATAGGTTAAGAGGCCTAACTCTGGAGTCAGGACTGTTTGGGCTCAAATCTGAGTGTCACTTAGTTGCTAAATGGATTTGGACAAACTGTTGTTATATTAACCTAGATCTAAATACCAGATTATAGGAAAAACGAAGTAAATTACATAAGGAAGCAGTTACTCAAATATAGATTGTGGAATGTTCCACAGGCAAAAATGACCTGGTTTCTCTGATAAATCCTTATTTGAAAAGGTGCTGTCAGGGGGGATTGTTTAGACTAAGAGACAAAAAAAACAAAAAACAAATTCAGTGTGTAGGCCCAAGTTTGGATGTGGATCCAAACCAACCAACCACAAAAAGGCATCTGTGTTCAGCGACTCAAATCTAAAACAGGTGTCAGAATAATGAGTAATTAAAACTGTAAGGACATGGTGCTAAATATTTTTTAAAAATTGAGATGTACACCGTAAGGACAGAGATAGACACAAAGTACCATCTCGGAGTAAAATGGCATTATATTTGGGATCTCTTTAAAGATATTCTAGCAAAAAAGAGAGAAAGAGATGAAACAAGATAGGCAAAACATTTACAGCTGAACTGAGTAATTGTTACACAGAGATTTGGTCCTACTACTTTACTTTTCTGTGTTTGATTTGTTCCACAATACACCTCTGTAAAAATACATCTCCTAGGAAGCTTTTCTTTCCCAGCTTCTATCTAAAAGTTAGTGATTCCTTTAATCTTCTCCCTTAACAGTTTATTCACATCTTTACCATCACAGGACATAATCACGCCCCACTGTTTAGGTATACATTAATCCTAATTATGCTCATCACGCAAGGGACTCTGCTATATTCTGGGTACACAGTGGTGGGCAAGGGACATGCCCTCTCCCCCGGTTTACACGCAACAGCCCCTGTGCGGGGGCAGACAAAAGCCCAGCAAGCCTGCAGCCAAGTCCAGGAGGCGGCTGGAAAACGCAAGGGCGCTGAGGAGGGAGAGGGGTGGGGAGAGCGGGCCAGGGGCACGGGGCTCAGGAAGCCCGGGGAGAAGACGGACGGGAGCGCGGGCCCAGCCAGCGCTCGCCTGCGCTCTGCGGACGGGCCCGAGTCACACTCGTTACTACAAAAGTAACAGTCATTTTGGGAAATGTGAAAAATACTAAAATGACCACTTTTGTCACCTAAAAAGAACCACTATACCTCAGCTTTTTTTTTTTTTTTTTTTTTCCAGCAACTTTTAGGGTTTCAATACTAAGACCCAAAAGAAGCTTTAAGAAAACCCACTTTTAATCCCATTGTCCGGTAGTGAGCGCTATTATTTTAGGAAACTTTTTACGTTTCTCCATAGGGAAAAGCACGCCCATACACGCGTACCCACGGGCCGCGCTCCGAGACCCCGGCCTCGCCGCCCGCAGCACCCCGGCTGGTTTCCGAAACGTTCCGCGCCGCGCTCCCTTGGCTTCCCCGCGCCCCTACTCCCGCACCCCGACCTCGTCCCTCACCCTTCCCAAACCTGCGTTCCCCGGTCCAACGCGACCCTTCCCCTCCCCACCTCCCAGAGACCTGGGGCGCGCCCCGCGGCCAGGTGCGCCAGCCCCGCGCCAGCCCACAGCGACCGCTCCGCGAGCAGCCCC